AGGATTATCTAAAGGACATCAGGAATTGTCAAGGCTAACAGCTTACACTTTAATTTAGATAGGTAATAAATAAAGCAGAAAAATCCTAAGCATTTAATGCATGACAAGGAGCCAAGTTTGGCCATACCTGATATTACCTTTAGACCTTTCTGTTACCTATTCAGGAAATATGTAAATAGGCACTCAGCTTCTGAGATATAAATAAAACCTCAATATTCAACGGAAAGCAGCTTAGAAATAGTTACAGCCAAGGAAATATAGTTCCTTTTCATTATAGTTTCTTACCCTTATGTGTATGTTTTTGAGTGCCCACCTAGGTCAGAAGAGAGTACCAACGCCAGGAGCTGCAGTTACAGATGACTATGAGCAGTCCAACATGGGTATTGGCTGGGAAGGGAACCCAGGTCCTCTGGAAGAGCAGCAACCACTCCTAACCCACAGAGCTACTTCTCCAGCTCCAGTACTCATGTTCTTCTTTGTTTTTCTTACAGGAAATTAAACTCTCCGTATTCAGTATTGAAGCTACTAGGTCTGTGTGTTAACTAAGAGGGAAAAATAATTTTAGGTAAAAATATCTGCCTCTCCCTGGCACGGTGATATTAGTATTATAAGTAAGGACATAATGTGACAAGTACTGGGGCCCACCCAGAAGCATGGGCCAGTAATCAGAGCTGTGACTAAATACCCAAAAGTTTAGACATTGCAGTTTTATATTGGTTTACGGTTTCAGCTAGATCTCAACCCACAATGGCAACAACCCAGAAGAACTAGGGCTAGGTTACACTTTGTTCTACCAGCCAGGACCCGCCCCCCTCAAAATAGCACTATAGCTAGGAACTGAGTGTTAGAAACACCAGCCTGCGCAGGTACATTTTAGGTTCAGACCCTAATGGAGTAACAAACATTATGAAACAAGATCCTGTCTTGGATTTGAGTTGTTTGTCGGATAAACAAATGGATTTAATACAAGTGTACTGAAGGCGGTGATGTTATTCCACTTTCCATGAACATATTTAGAAAGACAGAAACAAAGCCAGGGCATGGTCCAAGTTCTGATCATTGGAGAGAATCCTTCAGTACAAACAGAGTTTTCTGTATTAGGGCAGGCAGCTGTCTCTGTGTAGTTACAGTATACGTTTGTATATATTTGATGTATGCTGTCGATAACAGGGCCTGCCATCCTGGTTTCAAAATACTTAGGAAGAAAAAGGAGTGCAGAGCGTACAGAGTGTCTCGCTGCATCAGAGACTAGACAATACTTGGGCATGTCAAAGGAACCAGGCCAAGTGTTTGCATTGGATGGTAGCCTAAATCAGGTGCTTGTTTATTTTAGAATTTGTTAATTATTTTAAATCTTTGCTTCGCTTCAGTTACACTGCAGTGGGTATAGGACTTTGTGTCTGTATCTTGATCTCAGAATACTGTGTATAGGAGGAGCTAAGTGGGCAATTATTAACAGTTGAGGATTCTGGGTGAAAGGAATGGAGGTGTTCTTTTTAGTCTTGTAGCCAACTTTCATCATTTTTAAAATTGGAGATGTGTTGCAAAGGGAACCCTTTCATACTGCTGGTGACTATAAATTAGTATAGTTGTGAATAAAAACAGTATAAATTTTCTTCAAAAAAAAGGTAAAAGTAGAACTATCATAACACCCTAGTATCTGACCTTGGGGTAAATATCCAAAGCAGATGGCATTATTCAGTATTTACAACCAGTACTGTTCATTGTAAAAAACAAAAAGCTATTCAACCGGGCTGGAGAGATGGCTCAGAGGTTAAGAGCACTGACTGCTCTTCCAGAGGTCCTGAGTTCAAATCCCAGCAACCACATGGTGGCTCACAACCATCTGTAATGAGATTGGATGCCCTATTCTGGTGTGTCCGAAGACAGCGACAGTGTAATCATAAATAAAATAAATAAATAAATCTTTTAAAAAAAAAAGAAAAAGAAAAAAGAAAAGACCAAAACAAAACAAAACAAAACAAAAAGCTATTCAACCTATTGTTCTGGAGACTGTCACGTGGTATACAAAGTTCAGGGCCTTGCATATAGTAAAAGCCTTCATGTTGAAGGTGGAGCTACAAGTTTCAAGGTAGGAGAAGGTATTACTAAACAACAAGCACATACATGAGTCTGCAGAGTGGCTTTCTTCACAGCCCTACTCACAGTGATTCCATTAAACCCCACCTACAGGACTTAATGAGTCACAGTAGGAGTAAATTTCAACATGTTTCAATGTATTTTCATAAAAACTATAGCAAACTGGCATTTGTGTGGGGTGAGCCTGGAAGGTATTCTGTGTGATGTGAGGAGCCCCAAGTGTTCCTCCTACACTACTCAGGAGGAGGGTCTGCAGCCAGCTGAAGGATGGAGGGAGTGATAGAGGAAGGTCTGTAGTCCAAGGTTGCAGTGTGTCTCTCCCCAGCATCCGACCAGCGGAATAAGGCAATGACAATAGTGTTCTTCTTCGAGCGGTTTATTCAGGAACCCTTGTATTGTAAGCTTCTTTCGTGCTGCCAGCAGCCACCCACACCACCACCTGCAGCCCCTTAAAGCTTTGCCTCGCTCCTATCAGTAACTGCCACAAGAACACTGGTAATTGGTCACTCCGTATGACGTGAGGCGGGATGATCGGGCAACCACACCTCTTAGCGCAAGCTTTCCATATATGGAGTTGTTTTTCTCTCAAGCAGTGCCCGGTCATCCTGGCTGGCCTTTAGTCAAGCGCCATCTTGTAATGGCACCGGTGGAGCCGCTTCTCACAGCAGTGCTAAAGGAGTAATTTACTATCAAAACAGGATACTTAATAGAGAACATTGTTCTGCTACAAGCTGCTGAAATTACAATCTGTCTTCCTAGGAAAACATGTAAGGTGAAAGAAAAATATGAAAGATAATTCATGATAGTTGGCCCAGTTTATTCCATAAAAATACATGTTGAAAAATACTTATATCATACTTTTTTCACTGCAGTGTTTGTTTGTGACCAAAGTTGACCTTCTTTACTGTGTAGTCTGAATTTCTAATCTTCCTGCCTCCACCTCTGAAATGCAGGGATTAGGTGCACACCACTGTACCCAGTTTATATGATTCTGGGGATTTAACCACAGCTTCCTGCACACTAGGCAAGCTACCTACCAATAGAAGTATATCTTTAGCCTCTATTTTTACTATTAGTCAAATAAAATGTAATTTATTGTGTTTCAGAAAATGGTAAAGGTTATGAGGACATTTGCGAGTATAGGTTGTTAACATTTCATATATGATTTATAATCAGAATTGTTAGAGTAAGAAAAAGGAAAGCACAAGAAAGGTGCAGAAGGTTCATCCTGCTATATGCTGTTAACTTAGCACAGTACACAGACCCCAAAGTACATTCATACATTTTAGTTGATTTATTATAGTTGCATGAGGTACTGTAATCATGTATAGAAAATTTTCTTACTCAACAGTTATTTAATATTTCCACATGCTGAAGAACATTCTGAATGTTGAGGGACAGTTGAAAAACAGATTTTGCCCTTCAAGAGCTGCATTTTAGTGGCACAAAATGAGAAGTAGTAAAACTTGCGGATGTTGAGTGTGATCACAAGAGCACAAGTGACTCAAAATCAGGGGTAGAGAAAAGCTGCAGCCAGCTGGAGGATGGAGGGGATGACCAGAAGGTCTGTAGCCAGCTGGAGGATGGAGGGGATGACCAGAAGGTCTGCAGCCAGCTGGAGGATGGAGGGGATGACCAGAAGGTCTGCAGCCAGCTGGAGTATGGAGGGAGTGCGCAGGAGGATGGTCAGTTCTGCACAGAAACAGGAGAGGCCAGAGACTGCACACTAGAATGTTGCAGAAGAAAGCTGCTTAGAGTCATGCATGGTGATGAAGCGACAGGGCAGAGGGCGAGCAAACTAGGAAAGGAAGAAAGAGGCTTACTGTGGCAGTTAGCACAGAAATACATGAACAACACAAAAACAGCCTGAATTTAGCTTGTCTGGGGTTTGCCTAGCAGGCTGGCTACAGAAGTACTGTTTCCCACTGTATAATTGTGCTGCTATAATTGGGAGCCATCCTAAAAAGGCCACGCCTAAGCTTATTGTTTTGGGAAGCAGATTGCTTTATTTTTCTTTTTCTCTGGATCTTACTACAAATACTAGCAGGCTCTCCTGTCAGAATACACCCACACCCCTGCCCAGCCCCAAAACTCACTGATATTTGTGATAAGATTCTGGTGAGAAAGAGACAGGGAGGGCGATGGAGCGCCCCTTTTTCTTTCAGCCAGCTAAAAGGTTCAGGAGACTGAGCCCAGTGTGTGACTGTGCATAGAGATAGACCTCGAGAAACCGTAGTTAATTTGGACAATGAACTGCTCAAAACCTTCTGCACCTCCCCACGGAATAGCTAAGTTGTCATGCCCTACAAATGAGTTTCATAAAGGACACCCAATAACCAAATTTGTATCTGTGCTCACCATCAGCCAGGCCCTGGTCAAGCTAAACTGTCTGGAATAAACTGTGTATTCCACACTGTGTTGTACTAGTGAGTGGGTCATCTGAGAATTAGATTCAACTACCTTTGGTTGCAAGCACTCAAAATTCTCAACAGGAAGTTCTCTGTTGTTAGACCATGTTTTCTGACAGTTTTAATTTTACAATACTTTTTAGTTCGATAAGCAATAATACAGCTGAATCATATCACAAAATTGTAACATTTGAGCAGAAACTTTTGGGTGGCCATCTTGGGTTTTTTGTTTACTTATCTGTTTATTTAGAGACAGGGTCTCTACGTAGTTCTGCTGTCTTAGAACTATGGAGGACCAGACTGTGCTCACTTCAAGAGCTCTGCCTGCCTCTGCCGCAGGAGTCCTGGCTTGTATGGCTTGTATGACCGATTTTGTAACCTGAGTGAGATTCTTTGCATACGTACCAGTAACTATTTTAGGAATTTGCTGAGTTTATACCACATTATTTGCATTAAAAATATACTAATGTTTTTCTCTCTGCTTCCTTCTAGATTACATACAGGTTACGGCACCTTCTTCGTGCAAGGTGTGATGCTTCTCCTGTGACCAACAACACCATCCAGTTTCACTGTGATCCTAGTTTCTGGGCTCAAAATATTATCAACTTGGGTAGGCCATTGTATACATTTCCCCTACATGACTGTTTTGATCATGACATGTTACTGAATAGAACATTCTCATTCATTATCTTGTTTTACAGTCACACTTTTTCCAGTATGTTATTAATATATGCGTGCGGTAACACAGATGCATGAGTATATAGCACTTATTTTGAGATGATATGAAAATAGATTTACTTATAGGATACCTAAGTTAGGGATTTAGGAACCTTCCTTCTCCCCGTAGAATCCTGTTGGTGCTTGCATTTTTGTTTTTTAATGTATATGAGGATTTTGCCTGAATGTATGTTTGTGCACCATGTATGTGCAGTGCCTGCGGAGTTGAGAATAAGGCACCAGATCCTGTTGGATTACAGAGAGTTGTGAGCTGCCATGTGAGTGCTGGGAATGGAAGAACAGCCAGTGCTCTTAACTGCTGAACCATCTAGCCAACTCTAAGAATCCTATCTCTTATCTATATCAGAATGTATTTCCTCTTGACTGTATGTGATATGTGGCCTTTGATGTATAGTGTGTGTGTGTGTGTGTGTGTGTGTGTGTGTGTGTGGCTGTAGATCATAGCTGCGAAAGTACTTTACCATTAACCCACATTGCCCATGTTAGTTTGGTTTTTGATATTTAGAATGTTTTCTGAAGAAATACTTCTTCCCATGCTGCTAGTGAAGAGCCTTGTGTTTATGTGTTTGGTATGTGCATCAGTATACAGGTGTCTGTGGAGTCCAGAAAAAGGCGTTTGATCCCTGAGGCTGGAGTTGCAGGGTGGTTGTCACCTGCCTAACAAGGGTACTAGAAACCAAACTGGGGTCTTCCAAAAAAGCTGCAAATGCTCTTAACCACTCAGCTATTTCTCTAGCTCCAAGTTAAACTCTTTTTGCAGTGGAGTAGACTGGGGTAAGACAAGAAAGGTCTCATGTGGTTTTCAGGCCAACCTACCCTGACTAAATAATAACATCATGTAGTCAACCTACCCAGCATAAAATCATGTTATTGTGCGACTTTCTTTTTCCCAATCTTGCTTGCTTTTTATAATGAACGTTTTGCAAGCAGTAGCTTTGTAGGTGTCAGCACTGTGTCACCATGTCAGAAGGCTGACAACAGTTTTTAAAACCATTGCTCAAGCCCCTAGTGGCTCAACTGCTTTATCCTATTTATAGAAGATTTTTCTTTTTCCTCCCTTCGTCGTTACCCTCCCCATTTGTTTTGGGTTTTAGATCTTTTTCTTATCCTGGTCAGGTTCTAAGTTGTGTGAATGTACAGAATGAGGTGTAGGAAGAGGAAGTGTGTCTGTAAGTAGTTGAAGGATAACATACAGAGAAGTACTCTGTCTTAAATATCAGGGCTCATTGAGTCAGAGAATAGCATCTTGGCAACGTTAGGAAGTAGATATTCTTTGTAAGCAGTGCAGTGCAGTCAAAAGTAACCACTCAGCTTTCTTGTTGTGCTACTAAATATCTGAAAATACTCTTTTTTGCTCCTAAACTTTCTCACAGAAATGCCAAAAGCCAGTTTTTCCTTTGATGGCATCTTGGGTGCCCAGATTTCTTTTAGAACCATCAAATATGATTGCTCTTCACCCTCAAGACTAGATTATATGTGAGAAAGGAAAAACAGCTGGAGAAGGAGCCAGTGCTTTCATTATAGCATACCATGGGAAAGGAAGACATAAGCTTAGACGAATATCATCCATACAAAGGAAGAACAAAAGAATCATGGGAGCTAGGTGATAGAGACCCCTGCAGGCCAACTTGGGACATATATGTCTCAAGTTTGCTTATCAAAATATATAGCCAGCAACTGGAATCAAACACTTTGATCCACCCTACTTAAAAAAGAAAAATACAAAGCATGGGCTAGGAGATGGCTGTTCTTGAAAGTCTTATTTTATTATTTTTAAATGAATTAGTATTCTTAGAAATTTTTATAAGGTAAGTTTTTATAGAACATAAATAAATAAAAACTTCACTGGGAATCCTCCACTTTTAATAGTTTATAGGATCTTGTGTCCGAAATTCTTTGGCAATTAAAGTTCAACTCAGTAGCTATATAATATGTGGTATTTCACCAGTTACCAAACATTTTTATCTTGCTCTCTTTTCTTTAATTAGGTTCTTTAGTAATCGAGGATAAAGAGACCCAGCCACAAATGCCTAAGCAGAATCCTGTCGTGGAACAGAGTTCACAGCCACCAGGTGGTTTACCTTCCAACCAGTTATCCAAGTTCCCAACACAGATCAGCCTAGCTCAGTTACGACTCCAGCATATGCAGCAACAGGTAATGGCTCAGAGGCAACAGGTGCAACGGAGGCCAGCACCTGTGGGTTTACCAAACCCTAGAATGCAGGGGCCCATCCAGCAGCCTTCCATCTCTCATCAGGTAAATTTGGAAGTAGGCCTGTCCTAACTTAGATAACTATAGAGTAATTGTGTTGAGCAGCTTACAATAACCCTCTCCCCCTCCTACACGCTGTCCTCCATTTACATAGTAAAGATTGACTGCATTAAAGGACCCTTGATCTATCTAACACGTTGTTTTTAGCTCCCCTCCAAACTGATTGAATGATTTATTTGCTGTATCTACTTTCAACCTCCATGCGTTATCATCAGTTCTGGCAAAGGATAAATGTTCTGTTCCCAAGTGACTTATGCCTCTGGGAGACGTCAAGTGTTGTGTCTCATTAAGTCCTATAGGTGCATCAAGTTGAACAATATTTTAAGAATCTCTCTGGAGGCAGTATTTAGAAAACCACACTTTATTCTAGAAACTAGGACAGTATTCACTAGAGAAAGTCAGACACTCATTAGAATCCTGTCTTTTCAGCCTTATTAATTTTTCCAGAGCAAATCTATATACTACTCCTATTTGTATTACATGTGTGGTGCTGTGTCGTTTTTCAGTCCTTTCATTTATTACTTATTTTGACCTGCATTTGCACTGTGTGGTGTTCGAGTGTCTGTGTGCATGTCCTCATGTGTACAGGTGAGCATGCACACATGACATGTGCAGAGGTTGACATCAGGGTCTTCCCTTATCGCCGTCCACTTACTTACTGAGGCTGGTCTCAGCAAGTGCCGTATTCACTGACCATCTCTCCAGCCCTCCAGTCCACTTTTCGCTCTGTGTACTTTTAGTTAGCCTAGTTCTGCTCAGGTTAGATAGGGCGTACTAGATGAGTAAAGGCTTGGTGTAGAGTTGCCTCAGTCTTTTTCTCAGATTTTATCTTCTCCCTGTTTAGACAGAGGATTAGTAATGATTTTTTAAAGGACACAAATGAGCTAGAGTTTCATAAAAGTCAAATACATGGAACAAAACTATGCTAAGAAGTCTCATTACACTTAAGAACAAAACTTAGCTCAAACTGTCTTGGCAACAAAAGCAAAAAGAAAAGGGCTGATACAGAGATGGCTAACTGATAAAAAGGAACTGTTAATTAACCGTTAGGAGAGACTTTATTTTATAGGATTTTACCAACACCAGGATATATAATGTGGTTCTTTATGAAAAAAGCATCTAAATGGTGTAGTCTTTTTAGTAGCAATTAAATTAAATTGTTAAAAGATTGAAATAGCTTTCAGCACTAACCCAGAATTACAGACATACATCATGCTTTTGTTATTTGCCCATTTTGTAGTGTTGGGACAGCCCAGACCCCTGCACATACAAGAGCATATGTTCTACCACTAGTTTTGAACCAGGAAAAGAGTGAATCCATCACCTTAATGAATTGCCTTTCTGTAACTGGGGCAGTAACTCAGTAACTGTGAAGAGCTTGCTTACCCATGGAAGCAGTGGCAGACAAGTAGCATGCAAGCCTGCAGCCTGCTTTTTCTAGAGGTTGGCTTTTGGTTTGCTGTCTATAGCATTTAGTGCTGTAATCCATATAAAATTTCTACTATATAACTTAATTTCCTAACGTAGAAGTACTTTTCACAACTTTCCGTGTGTGTTACTTTTAGTCTTCTGTGAGCACCAGTCCTCTCTCTCACTTTTTAAGTCAGTTCTGCTAAACACCCATTTCCACTTTTTTTTTTTTGCTCTCAGTTGACCCTCTTGCTATATTTGTAGTTTCTTCATTTTCTACCAGCTTTTGTTTATGTACATTTTGTACACTGCCTTCTAAAAGCGAGTCTCTTTGTTTCTGGTTATTTGGAGTATGCAGATCATGTGTAGACAAGTAGATTGAAAGCATTGTGCTTGTTAAAGTCGCTCACATGGTAGTTTCATAATTCTTCCTCTGAAGATGAACCATGTCACTGCCATTCTTAAAGTGTCAGGTGGCAGCAAAGGCGGAGTGCTTTATTGTGTGGCACAGTAAGTAGAGCAGACTTGATACACAGCTGCATAGTGCTGCCCAGTCTGCGCTATTACGGCGTGGATATATCTGCTCGTTTGAGAACACTGACAGATTATCACTGTTTGTGAGTTATAGCCTTGGTTCTCACAGTGCCCAAGCCTGCAGTCTCACCAAGCTCAGTTATTTTCCTCACTTGCTTTCGTCCCATCTTGTAATTCTTGAATGAATTACTTTATTTGTGCAAAATATCACTAGTTTTGCTACTTATTTTAAGATTATATCTGGTATTTAATAATAAGTGGAGTTTGTCAAAACATTCTCATAAATTAACCCAATATAGCAGTTCAGGAAACAGGGAGAGCACACCTACGCCATGCTTACCTGTAAACCTCTTAACGGCAGACGGGGTTAGCATATAGTCCGGTGCCCTGGCATCCGGTGCCCTGGCATCAAGTGTCAGTTTGCTTTGGGGGTTTTTGGTGTTTTAGGTTTTTTTTGTCTGTTCATTTGTTTGTTTTTGGTTGAATCATTGTGTTGAGCAGTTACCAAAAGGATGAGACTAAGGTGACAGGAAATATCTGATCTCCCTTACAATTCATTTGTGTGTTTTTCTTTTAAATAAATTTAGAAAGTCTTCTCCTGTAATTCCTCACTATTTTCTGTTTGTGTTTTCATGATGTAAAACCCTTATGTCTCAAGTTTTATAGGAAAATCAAAAAGTTGTTAGGGCTCTGGCCGGTTCCTCTATGCAGTTACTTATTCATCAATGCTGCTTCTGCTCTCCACCTTGGAGTTTCGGCTGTCCAGAGACACGAGACATCGCTGGTTTTCAATGGTTCTGTAATACAGTCTTAACTGAGGGAGAAAAGAAGCAATTAATTTAGAGTGGGAGAATAAGTTCCAAAAGTAGGAAGAATTGGGGAGGGAGGGAGGGAGGGCAGAGCTGCATTCTACAGCTGTCTGGGTGTGGCCACATGAACCTGACAGCGATAAGGACTCACTTGTCTCTGTGGATGAGGACAGAAGTGCTTCCTTCTTTAGGAAGTCCTGACCATAAACACAGTTATGGTGTCTTTGACAGAGAAGCAACAAGTTCCCAACCGTAAACACAATTGAGTGATCAAAAAGACTGGCATGTGAGCATAGGGTTTGCTAAAACTGCTCAGTTTGAAGACAGCATCAACAGGAGATGTGGCAGATAATACCTCTCCACCAGCCTTCCCCATCCATCAGTGTCAGACGTGCTTTCTCCTGCTCACCCTCCCTCTTCCTTCCTTCCTTCCTTCTTCCCCTTTCTAGTCACTCTTTCCCCTTCCCCTTTTCTAAGTGACTCCTGGTGCCTCACCCCCACTCCCACCCCGTACCCCCCAGTTGCTTCTTGTCTTAGAGCTGTTATCCTTGGGAGGTTATACTGTAACAGTCTGGCCTCCTTAGGAGGCCATTATTACTGCAGTGCTTTTGTTTCTTTTTTTCTAGCATCCGCCACCACGCTTAATAAACTTTCAGAATCATAGCCCAAAGCCCAATGGACCAGTTCTTCCTCCTTATCCTCAGCAGCTGAGATACCCACCAAGCCAGAATATACCACGGCAGACGATAAAACCCAACCCCCTGCAGATGGCTTTTTTGGCTCAACAGGCCATAAAACAGGTGTGTATTACCTTTCTCTCCAGGTGCTTCTGTGCTTCCAGATCTTAGGAACTTACACGTAGACAATAGGTGATGAAGGTTGTGTGCTTGCTTTTCTAAATGAGTAGAAAATACAGGGTATACTTAGAACACATCTGTGGAGACAGAGGTGAGAAAACATCTCAGTGCTTTGTAATCAAGGAGTCCTTGCATACTCTGTGTGTATATAATCAAGAGTTGATTTAATATCTGCAGATTTCATTTAATAATATTTAGAAATTCATACTTGTTTCTGCTTCACCATTATAAGTAAAAGTTTAAATTGTTGCTTGGCATCAAATTCTATTTATTTTTCTAATTTATGACCTTGCCAAGCACATTTTTAGATCGCACTCTAGCTATAAAAATAGGAGTGCCTTGCAGAGCTGTGCTGAGAGTTGTCATAGTGCATCTAAATCACCTGGCACCTTCCAGGTAGCAACTTCTCCCGCATTTATTAGATTTGAATAGCTAGATGGTTGCCTTCTGCCAGTGACCAGCACCAAGGAACCCAGTGACAGACCCAGGGACTCGAGGCTCTGCTCTACACCAGTGCCTCTGCTGGCACAAGGCTGTGGAACTTTGAGCAGCTCAGCATACAGACTTCAAGCAAGGACAGCACTCATGCACTCAGTGCTGTCATCCCATGTGCTCAGGGACAGAGCAACACGCTCATGTACTCTGCACTGTCATCCCATGTGCTCACAAGGCACAAGGCCACAAGGCGAAATCGGGGTTGTTTGGTGAGCTGCATCTCTTCGGGAATAGGAAACATCTTGCCTGTGCCATTTCTTGGGCAGATGGAAGCATTCTTGCCAGGGGCATAAAGAAGAGTTCTATGGAAACACAGCAGGATAGTGTATGCTGCTTCAGAAAACACTCGTAAACTTTTTAAAACTATTTTCTGCTCAAAAATTAAGCATAAATGAATAAATGAGCAAATAAACCAGGAGAAATGTGATTATATTTTAAGCTTCTGGTATATAAGTATCGGTATATAATTAGATTTATAGATGATGTGTTCTTTTCTAAATGCTTTTTTACTGTGCCTCTGTCAAACATGGAGGGTGGGGCAATGCTTTGTCAAACATGGAGGGTGGGGCAATGCTTTGGCACAGTTCCTATCTAAGGTTAGAGGAGAACTGGTAAGACGCTAGTCTTCCACCATGTGGGTTCAGGGATCGGGTTGCCAGGCTTGGCAGCAAATGCTTTTATGTACTGAACATCCCACTGGTCCCAGAGATTTTAGTGTATAAATTTACCAAATTATACCATGCTCATGTAATGACATACTTTTTAGCTAGTAAGAAACTTACGTTACCTAATTTTGTGAGATACGTTCTCATTTCTGTGTGTTTTGTCTTGTACATAGGTAACAAACCCAGAAAGGTACTCATCAACGGTGATTCATTGTTCTCGGAAAGGGAGGAGGAAAGATGTAGGGATAAGATACAGATGTTGAGTATGAAGGTGTTAAAGATTTATGTTCACAGCTAACTTCATATGTTTCTGTGTGTACTTTTTACAGTAACATATATATGTAGGATTTTTTTTTCAAAACCCCATGTTTCAGAAAGTCACTCTACAGCGTCAACCACATACATGATAATGTGTTTGGGCAGCATCTTGGGATACCTTTCAGTTCTCCCACCCCCAGATTTATTCTGAGTCTTTATAATTTTCAAATACACCAAATATTGAAATAATTTTATGGGAACAGTTTGTTTTCCTTGTCTTAGTACATATTAACCATATGCCGTTTTATCTAACTATTTGTCTATACTGTATTTTCTGTTTGCCTTGAAGCAACCAAACAGCATGATTCAGTTTCGTATCCTTCAGCATACCTAGCATTGGCTTTGTGTTTATCTTAGCTTCTAGAGTAAATGAGAGGGCTTTCTTCAGTAAGGCTTAATTACTTGTTCATATATGAAAAGTAAGAGAAGTATAAAAATTGTACAGCCCTAATTTGTGGCTAATTATTTTTAGGCATTTCAGGGTGGGACAAAAGAAAATGTATGTTTCCAGTTCTCTATCTTTTCTTCAGAGAAGTTGCTTTTTGTATGCTTATATTTCTTGTGCATTTCATATATATGTATATGTATTTTGGAAGAATGTGAGATTGGTTTCTGGTATATGCTAGTTATTTTTTGCCAGAAAAAAAAGCTTATTTATTTTTTTGGTATTATTAACACGTGTATGGACACACATAATATGCCTCCTTTCCTCTCTCCCTTTGTTCTTTCCGTTCAAATAACATTTGAGCTCAAATAACAGACTTCTATCTTTGATGTCTGAAAAGAGTGCCGACTTACATTTCTTGTTTTTGTTCCTCCTCTTGGTACTCCAGTGGCAGATCAGCAGTGGACAGGCTCCGCCCACAACTGCCAGCAGCTCCTCCTCCACTCCCTCCAGTCCCACAATCACAAGTGCGGCTGGGTACGATGGAAAAGCTTTTAGTTCACCCATGATTGATCTGAGTGCACCAGTGGGAGGGCCTTACAATCTTCCTTCTCTTCCAGATGTAAGTTTATGTAAGATCTATACTAATAACCTCCTCTGAAAATTGGCAGTAAATTTGGATTTAGTTTAAGGTGTGGGTTTATTGATTTATCAGCCATTTCTGAAAGCTTAGTTTTATCCTGTAGAAGTAAAATATGAGTAAAATTAGAAATTATGAACATTTGGACATACAAAAGAATGTTTTTCTGGACTCTGACGTTAAAGATGTTTGCAGACGATGTGTCGTAGAGTCGAGGCTAGGAAGTGGGACGGAAGGCTAGACGGAGCTGTTCAGACAAGAGTGTGGGGAGCGAGAGCAAAGGCAGGTTCCTGAAGGGTAAGGCCAGCAGAGCTGCAGAAGAGGCAGGCCTGCCTACCTGAACATATTAGGTAAGATAGTCAATCTTCAGGATCTTTAACTTTGACAAGGGACTTTAAAAGAATCTTTCTAAAGACAGAAAATAACAGTGTTCTGTTGCTGGTTTCTCTGTACCGGTGTTGTGCCTGCACATAGGTTGTGCCCCATATTAATGCTTGGTGCCTTCAGAGGCCAAAAGAGGGCATCAGATCCCTTGAAACTGGAGCTACAGGTAGTTGTGAGCTGCCATGTGGGTGCTGGAATAAAAAAACCCTAATCCTCTGGAAAAGAACTGATGCTTTTTAACTGTTTTCCCTTTCCTACCTTGCAAGGTTAGGTAGTCTCAGTGTCAAGATGTATATATAACCAAACATGAAGCATTTACATTTGTGAAGTGTTTACATACTTCAGTTGGAAGGAGTCATGTATAAGATTAAACTTTTGATTTTTCTTTGATTTTTTTCCAAGTTGAGATCAATTATATTTCCTAATAATCATATTATTAATCTCATTAGAATCATTTTAGCTTTTATAATGCATATATTTTAAATAGGTAGAGTGTACTTTTTTCTTGCTTATCAGACATAGGAAAACTTAATCTAAATGTAAAAAAAAATTTGCTTTTAGGATTGTCCCACAATATAAATTATTTTTATTATATTAAGAAACCCAGTTCTTTATGCACCATTTGAGAATTATTGACTAAAGTCTTATCCAAGAATCTTTAAATACAAATGACCCTGTCTATTTCCTGTCCCCCAACCCCCACAACATAAAAGAGAGAATCTATAGAAAATGGAATTTTTCTTTCTCCCTTTTTTTCTGTCTTATTTCATTATGTATACTCTATATCCTGGCTTTAGGACACAATTATCTTATAAAATCCCAATTAATAAAGGCTACAAATATGTAAGGAATTGTATATGTTCCTGGAAAATGTGGTGTATTTATGCATGACAAAATATTTGCATTTAAAGCATAAAAGTTCTTATTAAATTTAACTTATCATATGTGTGTGTATATCTGTAAGTGTGTGAGCACACGCATGAAGTGGTGCATTCTTAGTATATTTACCGTGGGGAGAATATAAAGAGTAACCTTTAATTTCTTGATGGGTGAAATCGCCTAATAGAACTTCTCAGTTTGTGTTACTTGAGCCCTTAGTCTTAGCACTCCAGAGGCAGAAGCAGGAAGATTGATGGTAGTTCCAAAGTCAGCCTGGTCAATAAATTGAGTTCCAAGATAGCCAGGGCTGCGCAGAGAAGCCCTGTCTTCACAAACAAACAAACAAACAAATAGAGGAAGAAAAGATAGTACTTAGGATTGAAGTTTTCTTGTAAATTTACAGTAATTTTTTGTTTTCAACATTAATTTTCCCTGAAATAATTTCTTCTCCTGGAAGATTGATTGTTCAAGTACTATCATGTTGGACAACATTGCAAGGAAAGACACAAGTGTAGATCACGGCCAGCCAAGACCTCCATCAAACAGAACGGTGCAGTCACCAAATTCATCGGTGCCATCTCCAGGCCTTGCAGGTAAAGCCACCTTTTGGATTTGTAAATGTTTTCTGGTTTTTATTCGTATTTTTATTTATAATGATTAAAAGTTCCTCTCTGCCTCAGTTTTGGTGGTCTGTGTTCTGCCTCAGGTTTAAATGTTAGTGATTACTGTATCTTGAGGTTTTCTTTTATATACACTGATTTGTACGTGTTTCTCCATCCGTGCCCTAGTGCACATGTGGAAGTCAGAGGACAACTTGGAGTTGATTTTTCTCCTTCCACCAAGTAGGTTCCAGGCCTCAAAGCTCAGGTCGTCGGCCTTGGTGATAAGTGCTGTAACCCATGGAGCCCATTTCACCAAGCTGAGTTTTTATACCATGTCAAACTAGAACTCTTCACAAAGAAGGAAACATGGCTTCTTTTTTTAGATTCAGCAAGATTTATTAGCATTATAGCAACCGAAGAGCAAAGTTTTATCACAGTGTCATTAATACATTTAGTTGCCTGTGATAGGGTCTCTTTTCAGAATGTAATTTGTCTAGAATAAAAATTCGTAATTTTTATTAGTTAGGATACAAGAGAAGAGGGCAGTTTTAATGGTTTGTTTGCTTGTTGGTGTGTGATTGTATTTAGTAATGCTTAATGTAGGGAGGTAAAGAGATGGTTCACTGGGTAAGAGCACTTCCTATTCCCAGCATCCACATGGTGGCTTACAACTGCCTGTAGCTTCAGTGCTGCCCTCTCCCAAGCATTGCGTGTCATACACTACATACATGCAGGCAGAACAGTCAAATCACATAAAAGTCAATCTGTTAAAAAATAATATTCTAATATACTTAATTGATTGCTACAAGAAACACTGGAAATATTACTCCTGGAGACTTGATATAGCAGGTGTCTCTTGTGTGACATCTCGGGAGACGTGAACAGATGCATCCAGATAATATGCTGGTGACAAGCTAAAGCAAGAATTGCACTCAAGTCTAGCCTGGTGAACCAGTGAGCTCACCATACCCTGCCAGTGTGGCTGTTAACTCAGCAGTGGGTCCCCGTAGCCATCTGCACAGTTTGCAGGCCCCTCTGCCAAAGAGCTCTTCTGTCCCTGCACTTGCCTACATAAGTATTCTGACCTTCTTAATCTTAACTTCTTCTGATGTTTGAATTTTACAAAGTTTCATTACGTCATATGTTTTTTCAGCTTCCTGAGTCTTTCCTTTTCCCTGGAGGAGAGACTGTCAGTTCTGAGGAAGTTAGCCACACAACAGTATCTGCTTGGAATAGCGGAAAGAAGAGAACTTAATTAAAGTTTTCAGCAATGTTACCAAAAATAAGTTGGTTACAAAATTTAAGTGGAGGTTCCTATTTTAAACATGAATTTAGAATAAAATAAAAGACAAGTGCATGTGAATAAATTAGGAATGTTCTTGATGTTGATGAAAGACACATGAATAGGTAATCCCTACCCAATAAAGGCATCCAGCAAAATAGACTAAACAAAACTTTCCTCTCTCCGGTTGTCAGAAGATTCAAAACAGGATCTGGTTTCTTACTACTGAATTAGCCACGATTTGAATAGTGCTGATAGCAGTGATGCAGAGGTCATCTGGACCCTTCCCTGGGTACTGCAGTGTCACTTGGCAAGACACTTCTGAAGGCATCATGGCAATAATCCTAAGACTGATGTTTATCTCCTACGGACTACCAGACACTAGACAGATTCCATATAACCTCTACCACCTCCAGAGTATAGCTTTCACTCGTTGCTAATAGTATCACACCTACTGGTGTGTGTGCATATGTATATGAGTGCCACAGCACGAATGCAGGGTCAGACAACAGTTGGTGGGAATCTGATCTCTCCTTCCATATGTGAATCCCGGGGTCTAGCTAAGGTTATCAGGATTGGCAGCAAGCAACCTTCCCTCCTTAGCTAGCTCAGCAGCCTGAGCCAAGGTTCTTTATGGCAGCAGTTCAGAACCTCTTGTTTATTGCCTCACATCTGAATCTGACTTTCACTTTTCCAATGAATTGTTGTCAGGTGGGAGCAGGGATGCAGCTCAGGCTGTCAGGCTCGCTGACTACCTACCTACTTCTAGGCCACCCTCCATCCCCTCGACAAACTCCTTGATATTAGCCTCTTTCTCTCCTGTAGTTTTCACTGGCTCTGCCATCCTCTTCCTACTCTATTAACAAGAAAGACTTCAAAATGTTTTCTTACTGGAACTTGAGGTTGGGAGATATCCTATGATGAAGACACTTTCTCCCTGCCCAGATGTCAGTAGTGCCATGGCTGTAAACTTTTGGTGTAACAAAATATTAAAGATATGTTTATGGTTTCATAGAATTTTACTGGATGGTCCTGGTTTTGGTATAATTTAAGTGAACAATTTGACAAACTTGAATGCATAGATTATTAATTATTAATTCACCTGTATATGTCTATTTCCTTCTTCTCAGGTCCTGTTACTATGACTAGCGTCCATCCCCCAATACGTTCACCTAGTGCCTCCAGTGTTGGGAGCCGAGGAAGGTAAACAGATTTAACCATATTTATGGGTATGTCTTTACTCCGTGTCCATAGAGAATCGGTTCTAGGGCCCATCTGACTGCACCAAAACCTGCAGGTGCTCAAGTCCTCTGTGATGGTACACAGTTAACTCTAGTTGGCCAGGAACTCACTTAATAGATGAGACTGGTCTCTTGTGATGATGCCCCTGCCTCTGTTTCAGAATGAAGAAGCAGTCTTTCTTTCAGTGTTCTCTTAGTGATGTAATGATCAAACATTGGCTCTACTTTAAAACAAAGTTTTACAATTAAGCTCCTACTTTAAGTCCTACTTTAAGTTGTTCTTTAGTTCTGCCTTCGTTATGTTTGAAACTTAACTCTAGATCTTGTTTTTTGTTTCTCATTTGAAAGCAGCATTCTTTAGGAGGAAGTTTGCCTGTAGCAAATAGCAGAGTGGCTAATAGTATAGATTTCTGTTCAGCTACCACCTCTAAGAAGCAGAAGCCAACAAGTGATACTCTAGTGTCTTAGCACAAACTATGCATGAAAGTCTAGATTTCCTGTTGTCACTAACTAGACAGGAAATTAGAAAAAACTAAAAAAAAAATGTTAGTTCTAAAACACCAAATCTAAGGCTGTAAAATAGAACCTTAGAATAGGCAAGTCATTTAGGTATAAATCAGGTTTTACTGAATTTCAGCTCCAAGATAAATCTGTTTGAAAGGTTAGTAATAGGGCCTTTCTGACCTCGAGGAAATGAGTGCTACATTCCACAACTGCACTTTTACATCATTCACTACTGATATAAAATATGGTTACTATTGTGAAGTGACAGTATTCCAGAATGTTCTTCAGTTTACTGCTTTTAGTAAACTGATTTTGTCTCCCTCTCTGTCTTTCTCCCTCACAGCTCTGGCTCTTCCAGCAAACCAGCAGGAGCTGACTCTACTCACAAGGTCCCAGTAGTCATGTTGGAGCCAATTCGAATAAAACAAGAAAACAGCGGACCACCTGAAAATTATGATTTTCCTGTTGTTATAGTAAAACAAGAATCAGATGAAGACTCTAGACCTCAAAATGTAATTATACCAGCACTTGCAATACTAAACCCATTTAGGAGGCAAGAAAAGGATTTTCTAAATTGAGTTTCCCTCCTTTCATGACTCCAGATTGTGTCGAGTTGACATAAAACTAGCTAGCACAGTGTCTGATGTGTGATTTGAATTAGTAGCTACAATAAACCATCTTTACTGCTCACTTAGTCTTTAATTGTTGTAGCCATCGGGAGATTAAAGGGCCCCCTTCAAAACATGCATATATACATAAATGCTGTTGTCCTCTCTTTGGTTGCAGACTAACTATCCAAGAAGCATACTTACCTCCCTCCTCTTAAACAGTAATCAGAGCTCCGCTTCTGAGGAAACCGTGTTACGGTCTGATGCCCCTGATAGTACAGGAGATCAACCTGGACTCCATCAAGAAAATTCCTCAAATGGAAAGTCTGAGTGGCTGGATGCCTCCCAGAAGTCCCCTGTGCATGTCGGAGAGACAAGGAAGGAGGATGACCCCAATGAAGACTGGTGTGCTGTTTGTCAAAATGGTGGGGAACTCCTATGCTGTGAGAAGTGTCCTAAAGTATTCCACCTTACTTGTCATGTGCCCACATTGACAAACTTCCCGAGGTAAAACAGTACATCTGTCTAAAGTATGAAACACAGGGTTAGGAGTGTGCTGTGGTGTTAGAGCTTCTTAGCTGGCATGCGCATGCCCAGGGAACTGTATATAAGAGGACAGCGTTCCAGAGCAAAGGGGATGTAACTGAAAAGGAATGACATGAAAGGGGAAGGGAGGGGATACAACTGGACAGGGATGACATGGAGGGGGAGGGGAAGACAAAGAAGGGATTTTTTAAATCTTACAGTTATAATGAACTTTTGACAATTGTTATAAAGATTTAAATTCCATTTGGCACAAATGTATACTCTAAAGTCCCTACACTTTCCTGTTCCCTGCTTCCTAGTCTTTATGCTTCTCAGAAAGCTCATCTGTTGAAATAAACAGTCATAGGCTCTCTCTGGGCCCTTGTGGCACACGCCTGTGACCAAGCATGGAGGAGATGGAGGGAGGGTCACAAGTGTGGCGTTTACTCAAACACTAACGTTAACTTCGTAGGCCTTTGCATCAAGTTCCTGCTATTTCTGCTCTGTACTGCCTTGTACCTGGTAGTATGTAATAACTAGGCACAGGCTAAAACCCATTCCAAAGAAACCTGCCCTAGGTGGCCTGCAGGTGGTGGGAACATGGTGGGGAAGACAGAGATCTGACATAGTCAGAACTGAAAGGTACATTATCCCGACAGTGGAGAATGGATTTGTACTTTCTGCCGAGACTTGTCTAAGCCAGAAGTTGAATATGATTGTGATGCTCCCAGTCACCACTCAGATAAAAGGAAAAGTGAAGGCCTTACTAAATTAACGCCGATAGACAAAAGGGTAAGTTTTCTAACATTTTCACGCTAGAGTATTAGGACATGTTTTGTTACATGCATTGATTTTAAACTGAATTCTTTCACCTTTAAGTCAGTCTCTCTCTCTCTCTCTCTCTCTCTCTCTCTCTCTCTCTCTCTCTCTCTCTCTCTCCTCTCTGTACACAGAGAGAAGAATCAATAGTAAGCTATAGTGTGTGTGTTTGTGTGTGTGTGTGTGTGTGTGTGTGTACACTCGTGCATGAGCTCTCATCAATGGATCTACACATGGAGACCAGAGGTTATCCTAACATATCTTCCTCTTTTGCTTTCCACCTTACCTTTGAGACAGGTCCTGTCACTGAACCTGGAGCTCGCTGGGCTAGACTGGCTAGCTAGCGAGTACCTGGAATTCCCTTGTTTCCCCACCCTCCCTCCTGTCAGTTACAGCTGGATGCTACCATGCTTGGCTTCTTTGCTTAGGTGATAGGGATCCAAATCCACGTGCATAGAAAAAGCACCTGACCCTCTGAACTTCTTAATTAAAAAAGAAAACTATTAACTAGACATGTAAAATACTATGCTTGAGCAGAGTAAACTGTATATCCCTTATAGATAGAGCTGGGCTTTGTGTAGTGCTAGAACAGAAGAGAGGGAGGGAGGGGGGAGGGAGAGGGAGAGGGAGGGAGGGACAGAGACAGAGAGGAAGGGAGAGTGAGAGTGTGTGTGTGTGGGGGGGGCTGCCTGGGCAGTGAGCCCTAAGTGTCCACCTCTTTGCTGCTGGGATTGTAAGTATGCATCAGGGCATCAAGTATGCATCAGGGCATCTAGCTTCCTTACCTTCCATCTCAGAATTCAGCCCAGGTGTTCCCCACTTTACTGACTGAACCATCTCTTCGGTCCAACTAAATCTTGGCTATTTTCGGCAGGGCCAAGAAGAGAGAAGGACTCATTGTGTAGCCCAGGCTAGCCTAACTCTCTGGGTAACATACTGGCCTTGAATTAACAACATTCCACTTGGCTCTGCATTCTAAGTACATGCCCAGCCTTGTTCTTTGTTTCTGATTTTTTTTGTTTTATTTGTTATTGTTATTTTTGTTTTGATTTGTTTCTTTGAGACAGTGTATCACTATTAGTCCAGTCATCAAACAGCAATCCTTCTGCCTCAGCTTTCCAAGTTCTGTCTAAATTCCGAGACGGAAGATAAGGAAGCTAGATGCCCTGAAGTATACTTGCACCATGCATAGCTTTAGTCTGAGCTTTTAAATTTTGTCTACCTTAATTTCTGTCTTGTTTCATTTTTATCACTGGTTTTCAGAATCTTTTAAGAATTGACAGTGAGATTTACTTTTTTGATTTAATGTTCTTGGAAAGAATTCCATACTTTGACCACATGAAATTTTATTTAACATTTAGCTATAACTTTTTATTACTAAAAAGTTTATCAAAGTATATTTTAAAAAAGAAACCATGAAAATGGACATCTAAGAAGATGTGCTAGTGCAGTATATGTTCACTGGGAGGCAGGCGTGCACCGGTGCTGAGGGGAGGAAGTAGCAGGATTCACAACAGGACACCTCTTTTTGCAAGAGAGAAAAGATAGCTCTTGCCTGGAGAAAGCTGGAGCACTACATTTATTAATAAACACGTGAACTTCCTCCAGTGACTGCTGATTGACATAACACAGACTGGAGTGAAGGGGTAAGGGAGGAGGAACTCATCTTGAGGAACAAATGTGTATTCCCTAGTGTGATTGGCTTATTCACCCAATTACAGGGACTCTCATACCCATTCCCCTAAGTTGTTACCTAATTCAGATGGAGAGCAAAACCAAAGATACAGTGTTCCTTACTGATTCCCTGGGCCTTAATTTTTAATTTGAGACCTGTGAATTCTTTCAGAAAATAAGCTATGACTTCACTCTCGTTTGTATTTTTCATTAGAAATGTGAACGCCTGCTTCTGTTTCTTTACTGCCATGAAATGAGCCTGGCTTTCCAAGACCCTGTCCCTCTGACTGTAAGTATTGATGTCATATGTAGTGTTCACATGATGGGAGAATTTTTTTTAATTTTATTTACGAGAACCTAATTTGTTTATTTCTTTATTTCAATAATTTCTTGTATCTAATCCAAATCTTTTTGTGAGCAGTCCTTTGGGGGAGTGTGTACAGGTGTGTGTGTGTATGTGTGTGTGTGTGTGTCTGTCTGTCTGTCTGTCTGTCTGTCTGTCTGTCTGAGAGAGGGTCTCAGTGAGACTTAAGAGGATTACTCTCTGCTAGTTCTCCAGTGATCCCCAGGAGTCTGCCTGTCCCTGCCTCCCCCTCCCCAGAGCTGGGATGATAAGAGTGTGCTGCCATGCCTGGCTTTTTACATAGTTTGCTGATGTGCTTGTGATCAAACTCATGTCCTCATGCATCTCTGACACTCTGCTGGCTGAGCCGTCTTCACACACACACACACGCACACACACACACACACTATCCTCCTGCATACTCTTCTCCCACTGGTTCCCTTCCTCTCACACTTTCCTGATGTGCATGCGTGCATGAGTGAGTGCTTTAAATCTAAATTCCGTATAAGATAGAGGACAGAATCTGTTTTTCCGCTTCCCACGTTGCTGGGTCTTGTTTCCCTGACAGCACTTCTCTTGCTCCCTTCACACAGCCCCACTGTGCGTACACATTCTGTACAGCATTTCTCCTTCTGAGCTGCTTAGTTCACTCAGCGTGACGATCACAAGCTTCACTCATGGTCCTACAAATGAGCGCACGTCACTAAACAGATAAATGCATGTTCATGACAATTGGCTGATAATGTCTATTTATTTCTTGGGTATCCTTCTCATCCACCCAGTTTACTTTTATATTGGGACGGTTTTTTATGTTTTCTGTGTCTTAGAAGGCTTATATGGCATGAGTTGTTGGGGACAATAGCCACTATTTTTTTTTTTTTAAATAAAGATCTCTCTATAGGTTTTTAGGTACAAAAACTAAGTAGAATTTAATAACAGAAAAAAGCTGAGAATCATTCAGATAGATAGATAGATAGATAGATAGATAGATAGATAGATATCAAATATATATATCAAACAAATAGATCAAACAGATCTATACTGAAAGTATGATATAACTTTGATACCTATAGAGTACTAGAAAGAAGCCCATGCATAAAATATTTTCTCCATCTATGATATCTGAAAGTTCTTTCTGAAATTGAATAAATTTTGTTTTGGTCTTGTTTATTGTTGTTGGGTTGGGTTTTCTAAGACAGAATCTCATGTATCTCAGGTTGGCCTCAAACAGTCTAGAGCTTCCTGACCTCCTGTCTCCACCTCCCAATGAAATGACATTTACACTTATGGTTTGTTGGGTCTTAAAAATTAATGTAAACTAGAAAAAATAAAACTCATAATAATTTAGTTCAAGACAGTCAATTTCATGGTATAAAATATTGCAGTTAAATAATGTGTTATTGTATACAGTGAATATATAGCTCATTGTGTAGCACTGGCTGGCCTGAAAGCCATTATGTAGACCACGCTGGCCTTGAACCTGCAGGGATCCTCCTGCACCAGCAGTCCGTTTCTGATATTTAGGTTTTTATATTTAAGTTTTTAGAAGTAAGAGTTTTCTAAGGGCACTATGGATTAAACCCATACACACACACGCACACGCACATGCACACGCACGCAGCTACTAAGCTACAGCCCCAGTCCAAAAAAGGAAATAAGAACTTCAGGGAGAAGGAGCAGGGTGTAGAGAGGATGGAAGTTTGTGCAGGTATGTACCTAAACATGTAACGCAAAACTGTTGCTTCTTCTGCTCCTGACTTACATGTCTATTAACAGTACCAGCAGCCACACGTTAACCCCCTTTTTCTTGATATATAAAGTATTTCGTGAAAATCACCTCATTCATTTTCTGAAATTGGCAAGATGATTGATCTGGAATATAACGAGATTTTCAGCAGGGTTAAGTAATGTTGCAGGATCATTCTAGCCAGTGTCAAAGCTGAGGGCCAAGCTTGTCTCTACTTGGAATAGCAGAAGACAAAATCCTGTTGATCATCCTCTTTTAAATGGGTGTGTTTGCTTGTTTTAGAGACAGGGTCTAATTCTCTAGCCTTTGCTGGCCTGGCACTCACTGTCTAGATCAGACTGTCAAGTAGGTCTGGAAGTCCTAGAGATCCTACTGCCTCTGCCTCCCAGTGCTGGTACTAAAGACATGCCCCGACACATCAAATAGCCAAGCTAACGTTGCTGCATAGAGCAGCGTGCTTCCCAAGTACTCACTCACTCTTTGGTTTCCTTTCTTTTTTTTCAACTCCTGACTAACCTGGAATTTGCTATGTAGATCAGGCTAGCCTCCAACTCATAGATCTACCTCCTCCTCCTTCCCACACATTGCAATTAAAGGTGTATGCCACCATACCCAGCTTAGTAATTATTTTTTATTTAACAATGAAGAGCCGGGCGGTGGTGGCGCACGCCTTTAATCCCAGCACTTGGGAGGCAGAGGCAGGTGGATTTCTGAGTTCGAGGCCAGCCTGGTCTACAGAGTGAGTTCCAGGACAGCCAGGGCTATACAGAGAAACCCTGTCTCGAAAAACCTAAAAAAAAAAAAAAACAAAAAAAACAAAAAAAAAAACAATGAAGAGGGAGCATATAGGAGCTTTAAAAGAAAGTACTATGTAGCGTTTGCTGGCCTGGAATGCCTTTTTTCCATTAAAATTCATTGTTAACTAGGTCACATAGTAATTCTATTTTTAGTTTCTCTGAATAACCTCCATACTGATTACCATCATGGCTGAATTGATTTACATTCCCACCAGTAGTATATAATGGTTCCATTTTTCCCCCCTAATCTTCATCAACATTTACCGTGTGTGTGTGTGTGTGTGTGTGTGCGTGTGCGTGTGCGTGTGTGTGTGTGGTTTCATCCCTTAATGGTAGCCATTCTGGCTGGCATAAGATAGAATCTCAATGTAATTTCTGTTTTCATTTTCCTGATAGCTAACATTAATAAACATTTTTTCCTTAATGCTTACTGGCCGTTTGTGCTTTAATCTCTCCTGGTTTAGATGTTCAGAGGACACTGTACAGTGAAAATACTTGCACATTCAGATTTATTATAGCACTGTGCACAGTAGCTGATAGAATAAGCCTAGCTGTTATCAGAAGATGGTTAGATTTAAAAAGTACTGTGTATTGCTGAGTGGTAGTGGATGTGCCTTTAAATCCCAGCACTTAGGCCAAAGGAGGTGTATCTTCAAGTTTAAGGCCAGCCTGTTCTACAGCGCTACATACAAGAAACCCTGTCTTGAAAAACAAAACAGAACAAAGTTATATATGCATAATGGATTTTTAGTCAGCCGTAAAGACTGAAATTATGTCATTTTCTAAAAAAATAGATATGTAGAGATAATTCTATGAATGTAGAAAGGTATTGCATATTTCAATTATGGGACTGCTGGTATTATATATATATATGCCTTGGGAATTGGGGAGGGAAGACCTTCACTGTAAGTCTTGATACACTTAATTATCTGTATGATACCCAATATTATATACAGTAAATATATACCAATATAAAATGTTAAGTTTTTAGAAAAACTGACACAAAACTTGTGTGAAAACCTAGTAGGTACTTGTGATTGTTTGTTTCTTTGATTTCGTTTTTCACCAATGACAAACTAACATGAAGAAAAATAGCATATGCTATAGGACCGGGTGCAATTTACTTATTTATATTATAATAACTCATTTGTTTTGTAAGGTGCCTGATTATTATAAAATAATTAAAAACCCAATGGACTTGTCAACCATCAAGAAAAGACTTCAGGAGGATTATTGCATGTATACAAAGCCTGAAGATTTTGTAGCTGATTTTAGATTGATCTTTCAAAACTGTGCTGAATTCAATGAGGTGAGATGGGGCGAGGCCACAGCAATGTGGAGAGTGAACTTAACCAGACAGCCTGCCAGCAGTGAGGTCCCAAGATGTGTGTGCTAGAGTAAGTGTCCGGTGTCTCCTGTACCAGGGTAGGGCAGAGCTCGCTAGGGAGGCTTATCCACACTGAGTTTGCAAAGTCTTATATGTGGTAAGTGCAAATACAAGCTGGCCTGAGGCTGAGGTAGTTTAGAGTAAGGATTCCCCATTCCTTCCTTTTATTTGCAGGCTGCACACTTTGACTTCTGAGTGTATCTTGAAATAGTAAGGACGAACCAAACAGTTCTCATTTAGAAATCTTCTCATGTCACTTTTTGTAAACTGTGTCTCTTTTGTTCGTTGTTTGTTCTTTTGTTGACTTTCTCATCCTACCCATGCTCATCTTGTCACCTTGCTGATGTGACCCATCCCTGTCATCACCACTCCTTCCGGAAGGAGTTAGTCAAGAGCGTAGCCCCAGACTAGGGTTTGTTTTATATTAGTGACGTTCCCTGAGTACTTCCCAACAGTCCATTAAGTTTCAGTTGTGTGCCAAATAGGAACAGAATTGTGAGAGATTATTTTTATTAACTAAAACGTGGCTCTTTGGGGTGTTAATTCCTACCTTTATTTTTATCCCACAGCCTGATTCTGAAGTAGCCAATGCTGGTATAAAACTTGAAAGCTATTTTGAAGAACTTCTAAAGAATCTTTATCCAGAAAAAAGATTTCCTAAGCTAGAATTCAGGCATGACATAGAAGACTGTAAGTTCAGTGACGACTCAGACGATGACTTTGTACAGCCCCGGAGGAAGCGCCTCAAGAGCTCGGAGGACCGCCAGCTGCTAAAGTAAAGCAGCGCTGGCCCAGTGCACTGTGCTAGAGATTTTCCTTTCAAATTAAAGAAAGCAGAAGCCTTGTCAGTGATCTAAGATCATGGGACAGAGCAGGGTTTGTGAGATCTCTGGTATGGTTTTGCTGTTTACTGAACTTTGATTTCTTTAATAACATTTCTTTAACCTCTCATCATTGATAATAAAAAGAAGAGGAAGAAAGGAAATGTGTATAAGAATAAAAGAAGAAAGAAAAGGTAGAAAAAGAAGAAATGGCAAAGAAGGAAAAGACATTCTTCCCACTATTGGATTTCCTACAGCAGCCTGGAGTAAGACTTGCTCAATAGAGAGAAATAGAGTTTGAAGTAAGTTGAGATTTTAGTGTGATTTGGATGTGTGATAATCCATTTTTAGACTATTTCATTACCCTTTAATTATGGCCAACTGTAAGGAGATAGGTTTACTGTTCTTAAAAGACGTCCTCCCCAAACGTGAGTGGGAAGCAGAGTTCTTTCCCAGGCTGCCTGCCAGAAGTGTAGACAGATGCTATTAAGACACCAAATAGTGTCCGTGTAAGATGGCAAATGCATTAAAGAAATCAGGAAACGAAATGTTTGGTTATTGTTTTGCTTTATCTTGTCAGAGATGCTGGGAATAGCAGGTCTTCAGGGCTGTTCTTTCATGTTTTGCTAGATCAGCCTCTTCTTCAGCTTCCTTTAGGGAAGTAAGTGTGCGTGTTCCATGTTGCTGTTTGATCTGCGCCCCCCCCCCCCACTGTACCCCTTACTGTACAGAGCTGGTACAGCAAGACTCATTGCTAGTGGCTTTCCTTCCCTTGGGGGCAGGCAGGTTGAGGTGGTTGGGGTTTTTGAGACAGTATTTCTGTAGTCCTGCCTGTCCTGGAATTCACTCTGTAGACCTGCCTGCCTCTGAGTGCTGGGATTAAAAGTGCAAGCCTTAATAGAACCATCAAATATACAATACAGTAGGGTACACCAATATTTGATAGATTTCTTCTGTGCCCTGGGGCTGCCCTGTTCAAGCTCCCTGAATGGGCTTTCATCTGTCTTTCTCATTTCACATGAGCGGCTGTTGTCGACTTGGGAAGAGATCAGTTTGGTGGGGAGGGGTATAAGCAGGAAAAGAATTCTGTGAACTACTCTTTGTCGACTTTCTGTTTGCTTGATTTTTTTTAAAACAGACCTTCATATTTCATCCTTGATCTGCCTTAATTCAAAATTTAATTTTCTTTGGGAGAAAGAGAAAAAAGATTTATTCCTTTTGCTTGTTTGGTGGGGGTTTGTTGGGGGAGGGGGACAGGCAGGCTCAGATGAACAAGACACCAAATGAGATTAAGGTAGGATAAAATCCTTATGTACTGTTGTACTAGCCCAATATTTGGCAAAATACAAGGACAGTTTTAGTTTGCTATAGTAAACTTTTAGTATTAAAGTATTTTAGATGTTTGACTAGAGAATTTTTTTTCTTTAGGTTGACAGAATAAAACACAGCTGACCTGAGGATTTATTTGGTTACATGGCCTCCCCTGAATTAAAGTGTAGCTGGACACGGTAGATGTAGTGGCAGGCACACACTCACAAAGCCAGCCCTTGGAAGGTGGAGGCAGGAGAATCAGAAGGTGAAGGCCATCCTGCAGATCCAGGTTCAGGCCATCCTCTGCTGTGTGAGATGCTGTTGGGGGTGGGGCAGGGAGATGGTGACTTCTGTGCAGCATTGCTTCCTGAGGTTGCTGACTGGAGAACATTCTGTACATGCCTTATTAGCAATAGTTTCCCATTCTCTAAACAACCTATATAATAGTCCACAACCACTGTAACAGTCTTCATCCGTTTTTAAGTGTGTGTTGTGTGCTGATGTCTGTTGTGTTGATTTGAGTATGCAGCTGACATTTGTCCTGGAAACACAGTCTGAACAAAGTTTGACAATACATAGATCCTTGGGGAAGTGGGGTTTTATGTTCAGTTCAGTCTGGCCGTCGGCTCTGGCCCTTCTACCTCTACTTCCCTGGTGCAGGGACTTAAGTAGTGTACGACTATACCCTCAGCTTTGGGGTTTGTTTGTTTATTATTTGTGGGAAGTGGTTAAACTTATGTGGTTGAGTCCAGCATTTTAAGTGTAGCAGCTGTGGAACCTATTTATTTTAATATTTAAAAGATTTATTTATTTTATGTCATATGTATGCATGTTTGCCTGCTTACATGAATGTGTGTCATATGTGTGCCTGGTGCCCACCCTCCTAGACTAGAAGAGGGCATTGGATACCCTGGAACTGGCATTAGAGAGGGTGGTCAGCCACCATACCTGGGGCCTCTGAAACAGCAATAAATGCTCCCAACCACTGAGCTCACTCTCTGGCTCCAGCTGTGGAACTCTGGGCAGTACATTTCTTTTTGCTGTCTCAGAACACTGTTCTCTGATAGATTGTCTTCCATACCTGTCACCTGAGTTAAAACAGTACTTACGTAAATTATTTTAAGAATTATCACTAAAGGGGAAGTAGGGCTTAAATAATGTAAATATAATTTTTATGTATTTCTGCCAGAATGTCTACTGATATACCCCAGTCACTATTATATTCTATGCGATAGTAACCTTTCAAAATAATGTTACATTTCACCATTACCAGTTTTTGCTGAATGAAAGATAGTTGAGAACCATGTTTCCTGTAATGATATTTAATAATATGCTATTAAAAGTAAATGTCTTGAGTTTTTTTCTACAAGTAACTCTACTATCCTGATGGCTGTCTCATGACATAGTCATTGACAAGAACCAATGTGTTCATATGGATCCAAGCTAAATGATCTTAAACTGTAAGAGAAGCTTAAAGGAAAACAAAACAAAACTATCCCATATTGATTTTGAGACCACCACTACCCAAAATAAGAGAAAAAAAAATATTCATTATGAATTAGCAGTCTTGGCCTAACCTTATTCCAGCATTTACCTCTGACCAGTAACTTGGAAAGTTTAGTTCTGAGAGCCCTGGATCAAAGTCCCAGGATGTGTGGTCTATACAAAACTCCTACTACACACACACATACTGCTCTCACTGAAAGTGACCATTGTCTTTGGAAGATGATTCTACATATGCAGACCACACTGCGGGTGAGATTGCTTTTACTTCAACTCAAAAGCTTTCCCTTATGACAAGCTCCTGATCTCCCTGGCAGCAGAGACACTCACAGAAGCATAAATGGACTGAGCAGACAAAAGGCAAATGACACCGTTATGTCAGCATCTGGCAGTATGGTCCCTTTGTGCTTTGAATTCACAGGCCCTACTTCTTTCCTGGACAGAGGAGTGGGGAGGATAAACTCTTCCTTCCATGGTAGTTTTGCAAGTTTTCCAAGCTAAAGAATGGGCGTGGTGCTTGGCTGCCACACAGAGGGGTAGGTGCAGAAGTGGAACTGCGATGGTGTCAGAAAGCCACCCCCCAGTCAGCTGCCAGCTGCTCATTTCAAAGGTGCATTTGCAGCTCTCTGCTGTGAGCAGGACATGCATACTTTGTTTACATTGTTGAACGGGTAAAGGAGGCTCTCCCCCAGCTGAGGCCTAAGCCAAACTCATGTGAGTTGCTTCCTGAGAACAAAAGGTTTGAGTTTCAACTGAAAGTATTATAAAGAGAAAGAGTATTCATTTTTCTGTTTCTCTAAAATCCATATGAACGAGAGAAATAGATCTGATTGGTCATTAAGATTGCAGACATAACCTCCTGAGTTAAAGTACTGTATTTGTTCTTTAATCAAATAACCATGCCATATTTTTAAAAGTATTTGATAGCTCTGTGTAAAAATAATAGTTGATAATTTTACATTTATTCTGCCTTGGGTGGGAATTCTGTCATTATTCCCATGGAGGTGTCTCTTGTTCATGTGCCAGGTCACAAGCTTCCCCACGGAGGTTTCACAAGTGAAGCACATCTGAAGTGATAGTAATTTTACACTGAGGTTTTGTTTTGTTTTTTCTTCAGAGATTGGTGCTTTGAATTTAATAACAAATTAACTGGTAAATTTTTACTATGAATATTTTACCACAGCAGAGACTTTTGTATGGAAGACTTAATGGAAAAACAAATGTATTTTAGTAGCATCTTCCCTAGTTTGAGCTCTTTAGTCTGAGTCCTCGTATATTCTGGACAGCTGTAGCACTGTTGCCTATAGAGATGTGCTGTGGTCCATAAACAACAGAACTTTCATCCTGATATGTATTTCCTTGACCTCAGATAACCAAGAAAAAACTGACAAATAGGAAAGAAAGAAAAATAGACTACAAGCCGGGCAGTGGTGGTGCACGCCTTTAATCCCAGCACTGGGGAGGCAGAGGCAGGTGGATTTCTGAGTTCGAGAGTTCAAGGTTAGCCTGGTATACAGAGTGAGTTCTAGGACAGCCAGAGCTATACAAGAAACCCTGTCTCGAAAAACCAAAAAAAAAAAAAAAAAGAGTGCAGTGTTTTCCTCCTTGGAAGTAAAGATTTTAACAGTGCTATTGGTTACCTAATCCTGTCTCTTTATGGGTATTCTAATGATGGTGTTAAGAATCCAGCCAGCCACCTGGATTATAGTGATGCGCACCTATAATCCCAGTGCTTGGGAGGCAGAGGCAGGCATATCTCTGAGTTAAAGGCCAGCCTGGTCTACAGAGCAAGTTTAGGACAGCCAAGGTTACACAGCAAATCCTGTCTTGAAAAAACAAATGAACAAAAAAAGGCAGTCCAACATACAAATAGTTTGTTAGACCACAATCTAGTCTCTAATGGTACACTGATGACATGTATAATAAGAAATTCAAAAACTAAAGAAAATTTAGATTATAGACGGCATTTATCTATTATAGATTATACTCTAAAGAGGCTTAGATCAAATTTTCTGTGTAAAACTATTAGATTCTGATATGCCGTTTCTTTCTTTTCTTTCTTTTTTTTTTTTTTTTTTGGTTTTTTCGAGACAGGATTTCTCTGTGTAGCCCTGGCTGTCCTGGAACTCACTCTGTAGACCAGGTTAGCCTCGAACTCTTGAACTCAGAAATCCGCCTGCCTCTCTGCCTCCCAAGTGCTGGGATTAGAGGCATGCGCCACCACCACCCGACATGATATGCTGTTTCTACTGTACTTTTTTATTATTCTTACTACTTCAACCAGTATTGACTCAAGTCTCTAGGAATCTGTGAAAGAATTCCACTAAGTTCTTACTTAAAAATAAAGACTTGGGCAATAGAGGGGGGTGGGCCTGGAGATGAGAGGGTGGGGAGGAGCCATCTGAGGTGAGGAGCCAGCACTGCCACTGGAGGCCATGGGGAGGTCCTGCTCATGCTGCTGCCAAGGACCATGTCTGCATCCATGGTCCTGCAGCAGTGGGCATCTGTGTCAATGTCTGTGGCCCATGATACCACCAAAGGCAATGCGGACATCGTGCCTGGTCTAGGATGTTGTCAGCGACTCTGTTGATGTCCAAAGGCTGTGCAGAGCTGTCCTTTTCCCTCACTGGCTTCTGCACTCAGGAGATCGGCCCCCACACCTCACCTGGCAGCGCAGTAGAGACGGCCCTGGTGGCAGGCACAGGTGAGCTGGCCACACACTCACCTGAGCAGCATGAGAGAGCTGGTCCTACCCCTTCTCCAGCCCTAGGAGAATGGACCCTGTACCTTGTCTAGACAACACAGTAAGGCTGGCCCCAATGGCGTGGCCACTGATGAGCCAAGCCCAAGGACATGAGCAGGGGAGATAGGGCCTAGCACCTTGCTGAGGCACTGGAGAGCTGGCCCTGGTAGCGTGGGTTCAGGAGAGCTGGTGGGCTGAGCAACTGAGCTACCATCCAAGCTAGACATAGGGCTTTGATTGGCCCACCCTACATCTCCTCCATCTGTGAACTGTTGGAGCACTTGAACGAGCAGCTGATCCTGCTGCTCCAAAAGCAGCAGCATATTCCAGAGAAGTCCCATGAGGATCCGGTATTGATAGTCTAGAAGCCAGAGGCCTCCAGCCTGACCAGTGACTCACTGAAGTGAACAGTTGCAAACGCTGTTTGGGCAAAAGAGTATATACTGTTGGACACACTGTGACACATCCCAGCTTTTATGGTGAGATGCTTTCTTTTTCTTTTTCTTTGGGGGAAGAGGTTTCAAGGGCAGATATGGAGAGAAGGGAGATGATTGGAGTGCATGATGTGAAATTCACAAAAAAAAATAAAAAGCTTTTTTAAAAAATGAAAATGAGGTGGAATTTGTTTCTACCACCTTCTCCACAAACAGTTTTCTATTTGTATTGAAGAAAAGCTGAGTTATCAAGGGTTCTATTAAAATTAGTCTAATAGCTTGCTATCGACTTGATTTGGCAGTGTCTGAGACGCCTGTGCACTAGATCCTGTGAGGTAACCCCATGAAGTTCCTAAGCCTGAGGATCCCACAAACACGGAGGATTCTGAAATCTTAAGAGAATGCTGGGCCATCAGCCTTGTCTTTGGTTGGTTTCCGACCACTGTTAGCCTTTGATTTAAATAAGTGTCTGAGAATTTCAGCTATGAAATTCTCAATTATGACTTGCAGTAGATAGCTTGTCTTGTCCCTGCAAGTGTAGCCAACATTGTTTTCCATCAAATGTATTAGGCCTAAAAGAATAACGTGGCTAAAAGATGATTGCCTGTTTGCCAGATTAATCATGTGAGCTCTTTTGTATAGCTTGAAGTTAGAAATTTTTTTAGGCTTGTAAGAAAGCCCATGTGTGTAGCTTTCAAAGCCTATAATATAGTCCTTCAAACTTAAGTGTTGTTACTGGTTTGGTTTTTTGAGATGGGGGCTATGTAGCATGTATATCTGGCCGTCCTAGAAAACTCTTTGTAGACTAGGCTGGCTTTGAACACAGATCTACCTGCTTCTGCCTGGTGAATTCTGGGATTAAAGGCCACTACCAAGGTAGGCTGATCCATGCATTTCAAATTCAGGACTCAACCAGTCAGATAAATGTTGGGTGGAAAAAGTAATCACCTTTAATTCCAGCACTTGGGAAGCAGAGGAAGATGGATCTCTTGAGTTTCAGTACAGCCAGAGCTATACACAGAAACCCTGTCTCAAAAAAACAAAACACACTGTGCCATTTTGTATTGGATGAGGTGTTTGGTTTCCACCAGGTGCCCTGGAACTGATCTTTAAACTACTAATATGTTAATAACGGCATCTTTATTATAAGAAACTGACTTTAAGCCATTCATAAAATGGATGAAACAGGAGTTGTTTGCTCCCTCTTTGAACAGAGGTTATGCAGCCTGCTACTGCATTATTTCATTGTGGTTACAGCTGCAGTGTTTTCCCACTTTTAAAGAGGGTAGGGGGAGTCTTCAGCCAGCCTAGTGGTATGAAACTATGATGGGCAATAAAACACAAAATCTAAATGCAGACATTATAGATATTTTCCACAGCGTGTCTTTCCTAATAGAACTTGCATAACCAACACCCCCCATACATCGCTTTCGGCAAACAGTATGTAAGTTATGCGTGTTCTAGGAGAGCCACACATGAATCGAGGGAAGCAGTGCTTCTTCCCTCCTGTGATTAAAAACAGAGTAATGGTGTATGGAGAAAATTAACTTTATTCCCAGCTTCTTGCCAGCTATGTACAGAATAAAGTGGTTCTTCTGTAAGCTACCAAGACCATAATTTAAATTCAATGATAATCAGTCTAATTTCTGGCCTTAGCTACAGAATCTCTGTCCTTCAGCCACAGATTATATGGGGCAATACCAAGTGTTTGTCTAAGGTTAAGTAGCTGTTGATACCAAATGAGAAAAATGTATGTCCTCCACCCTCCTCTTCTCCTGGCCCCATTCAATCTCAGGGTTTGTTGGTTTGTTTAAGGGGTAAGTGGTTTGGTGGGAAGTTGTTGCTTGTTTGTAGACAGGATCTCATGTAGCCCAGGCTGGCCTTAAACTTATTTTATAGCTGAGGATGACCTTGAACTTCCTGATCATCTGCCCCCCCCAACCTATGTAAGCTGGTATTTCACCTATGAACTACAACGTCACTAAGTATATCCATAAGAGATTTTTATATATTGATTCCTAAGGAAGAGCCCCCCTGCATTTTTTATGTCTGCCTTGGTTGCCTTAATATATACTTGCTTTCTTAATTACCACATGCAGAAATAAACCCATTTTAAAAAATACTCAATAACTCAGTGAAGATCAAATATACTTTTCTCCACATAGTGTTGCAGGTCCTCATTTAATTTGCTATGGGAAAGAAAAAAAGAAATTAGTTGGTAAGGCTTTGTTCTGAATTTACAGGGAATTAAATACATCATCTACAATGCTAGCTTTATAATTTAAAGTTGCAATGGTGGTCTGGTAAGGCATTTGCTCAGGGAGGCTTCATATTAGCTACATGGGCTTAATTCAGCTCTGAAACTCTTCTTCCAGATGTAGTGGAACTGGGGGCTCACGAAGCTCATGTGCCAGCCTGCTTCTAGATGAAGAAACCACTAGTACCTGATGCCTGGAGTTAGGCTTCCCAGTGCTGCTGCCAACACGGCTGGCCCAGGGAATCCACACTCAAATGCCCACCGCTCACTACACTCACTACAGATATTAGGGAAAGAAAGTTAGTCTGCTACTTCTAGACCATGGGACCCCAAAGGATCTGGGGTAATGTCTTAACCCAGCTCTCTGTCCAGAAGTGGCTTTTATATAAAGAGGTGAGTTATTAATTAATTTCACCTTTATTGCTGCTAAAAAATTATATGTGAGAAAGACTGAAGACTTAGAATTTTTTCAGGACTCTCTAATGAGAATTATTTGCTTGATTTAATAGTGGCTACCCATATCCCAAGCTTCTCTTTGGCCAAATGTGGCAGCTAAGGAACTAAGAGGTGTCTTAGAGGAATTACTATTCTGAGTTTCAGTTCTCAGCTAGCACCCATGTTGGGCACCTCATAAAGGCCTGTAATTCCAGCTCCAGGGGATTTGCACTCATTCACATACCCACATACAGACACATATGCATACATATAATTAAAAATATGTTTTAGGTGATAATTGAAAGAACATCCCTGAGTCACTTACCTGCAAAGCACGTCCTTTCGTCTCAATGGGAAGAGTAAATGCAGAAATGGCGCACACAACACAGACAGATGAGAAAAGACATAGGGCTCCCAGGAAGGAGGCACTCATTAGAACCTGTGGTCAAAAAACTGAATTGATTGATTATGTCCTAATCACCTCACTGGCCTTTTATATCAAAAAAATGTGTTAGCAAATACATATATAAATGGTCCTTGTAGCCAGATCTGTTATTGGGCCCTTGGAACATCCGTTCGATTGGAGCAAGCTGGGACAGGCATCTTGAGTGACTGGCATTAATACACATGGGACACCTTACATCTCTTTGCACCTTCCTTCCTGTTAGGCATTTCTAGAGCGTATTTCAATATCTGAGGACACAGGAAGGTTTCCTTGTTCTCCCAGATGCTCTTACACTTAATTCCTAATCTCACTTTGTGATACACTTTCTACAGAACCTCCATTCCTTCCTTCACTTCTGACAGGGCAACAGAACTTTTTTTTTTTTCCAGAAAAGATAGTCACATGGGTCTTTGAAAAGATTGCTCCTGTGTCTTATCTCTATTCACAATATTTTGTATGACTGTCAGAACTTTTTTTGTTTTGTTTAAGACAGGGTTTCTCTTTATAGCCCTGGCTGTCCTAGAACTCACTCTGCAGACCAGGCTGACCTCAAACTCAAGAGACCTGCCAGCCTCTGCTCTCTAAATTCTGAGATTAAAAAGTGTACCACCACACCCTGCTGTCAAAATGTTTCATTTGATGTCTTTTTTTATATATATAAGGGTTTCTGTCAGTATATATACAACTTTTGGCTGGATATTTTCACTTTGCTACTGGCTAAACAAAGACTCATAAACCCATTTCTCCAGGATAGTGCCCAGGATAGTTGGCAGATCGTCAAGAACTTGATAGTTGTCAGCTACTTTTAACAGGATAGTTGCCTACACTGTGAAAGGAACAAGAAGGCCTGCTAACATCAGACTACATGCAATTTTGAAAGATGTGGAAATTACCTAGTCTAGTCTAACCTGTCATTTTAGAGATGAGCTTGCCCTGGCTCATCACAGTAACCATAGCCCCAAAGTCCTGGGTCTCTGGGAACCAGAGCCTAGTGATGCTACCACCACTTACTTTTAAGATGCCAAACTCGGAAACCAAACTTCAGTCTATAAAGTCTACTGCTTTCCAAACTGGCAGATAACACCACATATGTAAACAGAATCCACGTTAACTTCTAGTTAATTGGAGTTAACCTAACATAATATTCATATGAGGGGGGTGTGTTTTGAAGGGTTTGGGGTTGGCAAGTTCTCATGTAGCACAGGTGTGCCTGTACTCACTATGTAGTTGTGGTTAGCCTTGAACCTCTAATTCTTCTTTACCTCCCAAATGCTAGGATTATAGGCACCAATCACCTAGCTCTCTGCTCTTTGATTTTCATCACCAAAATAAAATTTTCTGAAGCATGAGGCTGGGAAAACAGAAAAGGGACAGAACCCCAAAGAGACTAGATAGTCTACACAATGCATGGCAAGGTCACCACACAACATGCCGAGAATCCAACACTTTTGTTACTGAACATCAAAATTCTCACCATTTAGAATGGATTCTAAATCATCCATACCTTTTTTTTTTTCTTTGCACCTATTTCAAGATCCTGAGTTGGGTAAGATTCTGAAGAGTTGAATTTAAATCATGTAGTTATTATACAAGCCAGGCCAGAGAGCGACTGTCGGGTCTTTTTGCTTCCCTTGAGAGATGTAGGACCCTGCTTTGTAGCAATCCAGTGCATAGCTGTCACTGCACATTCTTAACACAATCTAAACTAGCCAAAGGAATTTTCTATTCTTCATAATCAAGAAGTCTGCAGAATTATATGATTGCAGGAATCATCTGGGACCTAGGGATGTAGCTAAGTGTTAAAGAGACCATGCTTCTAATACGGCAAAACACCATGACCCAAAGGTAAGTTGGGATGGAAAGGGTTTATTAGTCTATACTTCAGATCATAGTCCATCATTGGAGGAAGTCGGGACAGGAACTCAAGCAGGGTTGGAACCTGGAGGCAGAAGCTGATGCAGAGGCCATGGAAGGTGCTTACTGGCTTGCTTCTCATAGCTTTCTCAGCCTGTTTTCTTATAGAACCCAGAACCACCAGCCAAGGGATGGCACCACTTAACATGGACTGGGCCCTCCCCCATTAGTCACTAAATTAAGAAAACGTCTTACAGCTGGATCTCATGAAGGCGTTCTCTCAACTAAGGGTCCTCTCTGATGACTGTAACTTGTGTCAAGTTGATACACAAAACCAGCTAGTACAGCATTTATGAGTCCTGAGTACGGTCAGCATCATAAGAATAAATAAATGGAAGTTCAGTTACAATCCATCTTTCCAGCATTCACTCCACATTGTCTAAGTCAAAAGGAAAAAGAACTCTACTTCTAAAAGGAAGTCTCAGGAACTAAGGATGCAGATCACCTAGCTTGTGGGAGATCCCAAGTTCAGTCAGCACAAAACACTAAGAACTAAAAAGCAGAGCTGTGTAGATCAGTGATAGAGCAGTTACTCAGTATGAACAAGGACCAGGCTTCAATCCCCAAATCAGGGAGGAGAAACTAAAAGCAGAGCCTAAACCAGAGGCAAGAAAGAGCTCTGTGTGAGGAAGAGCCAGTCTGTTAGACAGTAGTCATAGAGGTTAATCTATAAGACAAAAGAGCTCAAACATCAGCTAAAACTAAGCAGAAATAATTCACACACAACTGGAAACCTTAATATATCCTTCCAGTTTTAAGATTTTTTTTTCATTTATGTGTGTGCATATGCATGAATGAAGATGTCCGTGAAGGCCAAAGGGCGAGTCAGTGGTAGGTAACCAAGGGTGGTAGGTACTGAACTCTGGTCCTCTGGAAGAACAAAAAGAGCTCCTGACTGTTAAGTCTACTACCCCTTTCTTAATAGAATGACTAGACAAAACAGAAGAACTCCATGACACAAACCAACAAGGTCTGATTACAGTCTATCCAATATCAACAGAAAGCCCTTTTTCAAATGTCCATCAAATGCTAACTGAGATAAACCATATCCTTAGACATAAAATAAATTTCAGTAGGCTTACAATAATGAAAATAATAAACATTTTCTAGCTAAAAAGGGATCAAGTTAAAAAGACAATAGCAAAATCTTCAAACATTTCTAAGCTATCAAAAAATCTAGACTGAGTACAATGGAAATTATTAAATTTCTGAGACACAGCTAAAAGTGTAAAAAACATTATTTAGGAATAAATAAATATACACGAAGGGGCTGGGGGACTACTTCAGTAGACTGCAGTCTACTCTACGCCAAGCACTGCCTGGGCTCCACCCCTGACTGGCACTAGTTATGCAGTAGTACCCATGCGTCACCTTAGCACGAGGGGTCATCCATCCTCAGATGTGTACATAGCAACTTTGAGGTGAGCATGAGTTACATGGAATCTCGTGCCCAGAATTAGGTTAACATGAAAAAATTAGGAACATGCATACTCATACATTAATTAAATGAACAAGCTAGGCGGTGGTGGCACATGCCTTTAATCCCAGCACTTGGGAGGCAGAGGCAAGCAGATTTCTGAGTTCGAGAGTTCGAGGCTAGCCTGGTCTACAGAGTGAGTTCCAGGACAGCCAGGTCTACACAAAGAAACCCTGTCTCGAAAAACCAAACCAAAAAAAATAATGAACAGCATATCTTAGACAAAGTCTTACATAACTTTCATGAAGGTAATTTGTAATTCTAATGGAAATAAAAATTCCCAGAAAGAACTTATAATCAGTTTGGAAAGAAAAGTGTTTTTTAAATGAATTTCAAATAGCTAACTTGTAAGGGAAAAAAAATCAGGAAACCTGAAAGGTTTCAGGGAGCCCTAGGGAGGTTATTAGCCTCGGAGCTTACAGAATAGAGCAATAAAGTTGTGAATCACCAAAGGGCACCAGTGAATGCCTGTGGAAATTTGTTTTTACTCTAATAGGAACATTATTAAATCAGGTGAGGAGAGGCCAACAGCCGTTAATCCTTATACCTGCTAAGCAGGCTACATTCCCCACGTTGTTGTTGCTTTTAAGAGCCATAGTCTTACCTCAGACCTTAAGCATAAACTTAGAAACCAAAGCTTAAGAAGGAGGTGAATGTAGCTGGCCTTATGGCACACGCCAGGTCTATAGAGACAGACCTTGTCTTCAAAAACAAAAACTCAGATGAATGTCTGATGGGAAGACATTTAAACATGACAAAAACATCATGGGTTAAAGGTATTGGTTCATAAATTTTTAAAAACATATAGGTCAAAAAGTTGTGATAGTAAACTTAAAAGGTAGACTATAAAATTACCTGTGCTGTAGGGCTGGAGAGACAGCTCGGTGGTGAAGAGCATTAATTTACCACTCTTGCAGAGAACCTGAGTTCCAGTTCCAGCATTCATGTCAGGAAGCTCGAGGCTGCCCATAGCTTCCGGCTCCAGAAAGATACAATGTGCACCCATGTGCATATATATATTCTCAATACAGACGTATACGCCTACACATAATTTAAAATGTAATAAAAACTAATTCCCCCTTTTGGAAAAAATCTGTTACAATGATAAAATGGTGATCTGCCCTGACAGGATCAATGTCCTTCCAGAAAGAGGACACACCACACACTCCATGATGGGAGACAACCACAAGCCAGGAACAGAGCTCTGAACAGGACCTTCATCTTGGACTCATTCTAGAACCTTAATGTCTGGTTATTCCCACACAGCCCATGGTCTTTTGTTTACAGCAGTTGAAGAGATAGCAACTGATACAAACTAGGAATTTGTGAAGAAATGCCTGAAGTTTAATCAGAAACACTGGAGTTAAGGTTCTTTTAAGACAGTTGCATAGAAATCCAGAGAGAATAGTTAGATGAATCTAGGGCTCAGAAGTGAGGCCTGATGCAAAAATGAGAATTTAGGAGTCATGAATTTGAGCATGCTAGGACAGCTAAAATCCCAGCACTTGGGGCATAGAAGCAGGAAAATAGGATTTCATAGTCATCATCTGCTACATAGGGTGTTTGAGGCCAATCTGGATACATGAGACCTTGCCTGCCTCAA